GCTCAGCTCCAGGCTGCAAACTCCTCTTGACCCCATGTCTGCAGTGCCGTGAAGCCTGGGGGGTTTTGCTCAGCAGTGCCTGGCAGGCGTTGATGGTTTCCGTGCTCTGTCTTCCTCTCGCTTTTGGACTTGATTTCCATGCCGTGGACCGGACATTGCACCTGTAAAGCACAGCCAGGCTTCTGTCCCACACCCCCTTGTAGGAGAGGTGCTCCGTAGCCATTCAGTAGCAAATAGGGATAACGGGACACCAGCCATTTTCATTGTGTCCTCAGCAAGAACTGAAATTCTGAAGAAAATCCCCAAAGACTGAATTAGGATTTTTTTTGTTTGTTTGTTTTTCTCCCTCAGGCTAATTTCAAGCCTCCTCTACCAAATGGTCTGTATCATAACTTCATCCTCTCCTATCTGGGCATCTGTTGCCTGTGCTGTTCCTGTGCTGGCCCCAGGAGCAGGCAGGGCACTGAACCATAATGAAGAGCCTGTTTTATCCAAGGAGAGGAATTCCTTTTTATATTCCAATATCCTGTCTGCTGCCAGGTGCTGGGTTTAGTGTTTGCAAAGCAATTGCATCTGCAAACTGGAGCCAAGTCAGCATGTCTGGTTATTCAGGCTCGCACGCTGGAGCTGCCTCTGTCTCTTGGCCGGTGGGGTGAAGTATTAGCAGGACAATGCCTGGCAGAAACTTAAGACGCACAGGCACTCTCCTTGAGAGATGGATGCTTTCCCCCATTGCCCGTGCGGAGGAAGAGCAAGCTGTGTCTTCCCCTCAGGTCATGCAGGGGAAGGAGCTCTGCCCGCAGCCTCTTCCAGTTTTCCCACTGGAAAGGGAGCCGGACCGGCCCTTTCTGTAGGGTCAGCAAAGCGGTGGCCTCCGCTGCCTGCGCTGGTGCTGGAGCACGTGGCAGTGCCAAGAAATACAAAGAAAGGATCATCGCATAGAGTGGCAGGGTTTTCCTGGCCTGAAATTGCAGTGGGATACTCTGCAGAGCTGTGGATCTGTCCGTGCATCCTCCTCATGTGTGCGTCCGTAGTGTCTGGACCGTGGACATTGTGCTCTTCTTCCGCTGCTGTCACTTTTCCATCTGTTCGTTCACGGAGAAGCAAATGAATGTTTGTCCTCTGCACAGCCCAAGAGAGGGGAGGAAGGGCCTTATGTTGATTTTGTGTGTGTAAAATATGCCCATCTGTTGGGATATCGTGTTTAAAACAATGAAAAAAGAAAAGGAAAGCCCATTTGCTGAACTGTCCCTTCCTCTGTCCAGGGATGGCTTTGACCCCAGCCTTTCCTATTTCTCTTGGCCAAAAAAACCATAGTTGTTCAAGGCAGAAAATTAGTAGGATGGCTTGTTGCAAGCAGAGTGTCTGGTTAATGAATTCTTATGGAATATTGTTAAACATCTGGTGAACATACAGCATTTTTGCATGTTAATATTTTGACTTTTGTCCTCGGTGGAAATGCACATCTTGAAGGCATGATCTGCTCTTCAGGAGAACCCCACTGCTGAATCTAATTCTTTTCCCCACCACCAAAATTCATGGAGGTCGGGAATGCTGCCAGATCTGCAAAGTCTGCCGTGTGGCATGAGTGCGGTGCATCATTTGGTTTACCGGTTGGTCCTGGGGGTCTTCCTGGTGGGGATGGCTTTCCTGCAGCTTGCTGCTGGGACTGTCTGGTTCTCTTTTATGATGAGGTTAGCTTAGGGGAAAATGCTCCCTTGCTGGGGAGCCAGGCATTCCTCTACAGCAAGAACAGATGGAAATAAGCTGCGATGGATTTCCCGTTTTTTAAAATACCCACATTTCTACTGCAGGGAGTGGCAGTCCTGTGGGGAAGGAGGTGCGTTACAGCATGAGCTGGGCAGCAGCCTGTGGAAGAAGCTGCCTGGATTTTTCCAACCTGGTGAAGATTTGTTATCTTGGGTGAAATGCTGTTAAAGCAGGCTGTACACTGCTCAGTCCACAGGCTGTCAGCACTGAGAACACCTCCAGCCCAAAGCTCGGGTGCCGACTGACGTGTAGTTGCTTTTAAATTGTAATTTATTCATTGTGACAGAGGCTGGTGGCCTTTTAATCTGCTGGACCGGGGAAGGAGATGCATGTTTCAGTGAGGGTTTGCGCAGGTGATTTTTATGCAATATTTTGCAGAACTGTGGTTAATTGTTCCCCTTGGCCTGCCTGGCAGCATTTTTAACCTCGCTGCTTTAATCTCTGTTGTGGTTTAACCCGGCAGGCAGCTAAACACCACACAGCCGTCTGCTTACTCCCCCATCCCACCCCGGAGTGGGATGGGGGAGAGAATCAGGTGAAAAAAGTAAAATTCATGGGTTGAGATAAAGACAGTTTAATAGGACAGAAAAGGAAGGGAAATTTAATAATAATAATAATTATGATAAAAGAATATTCAAAATAAGTGATGCACAATGCAATTGCTCACCACCCGCCGACTGATGCCCAGCCAGTCCCCGAGCAGCAGTCGCCG